TCCCTACACCAACAACAAGATCATTGAGGAAGTGTTGCACAGGCTGGTCACGCACTTTCCACTGACCTCTTACAGCGAGCCGAAGAAACGCAGCAAGCAAAACCTGATTAGCCTCAGCTATGCCATAAATTAAGTGGGCATATACAAATCAAAAATAACCCGGTGATCCACTTTTCAGTTGTGAAAACTGTGCTCATCTGTCTAGCAATAAAACTTGTCTGCAAAGCCAAGTCAGGATTAAAGAGGCTCTTTAGTTCAATGATTCAATGTTTGGTCCAGTGCATTTTTAAATGTCTGTATGTAACAGTTGACACAAAGTTACAGAGACTTTTTGTGGTTGTTCATTTTATTTAACTTAAATAAATTAAATATATAAATATATATAATATATAAATTAAATATAGTATATTTAAGGCATGATATATAAATATATATGACAAGCTTATATGTTTCTTCAGAGACCCCTTACTTATGAAATACAGTATTAAGCTGAGAGAAGTCGTGCTAAATCTGTCTAAATGCCTGTAGTTTTTCCAAGCTTATATGTTTCTTCAGAGACCCACTTATGAAATACAGTATTAAGCTGCGAGAAGTCGTGCTAAATCTGTCAAAATGCCTGTAGTTTTCGTCATGTCCAGTGTATCATAGGTGAATGTTGGCTTTGCCATGTTACAAACTAACCTACAACTTTATGAGGAGCCTGCGGTGTTATGACAGCAAACATAAATCTCATGTGATGACAGTCATGGCGGAGCAATAGTAAAACAGAGCTCACTTTTATAACCTGTGTGGCTTTTCTTCTGCAGTTGCTGTTCTGAACCAGTTGTTGATTATCACATTTTGAACACGTGCCTCACTTTAGCAGGACAAGCTTAACTTTTCAAAAGTTTTGGAGGGTGGGTCTGAGCTGCTGTACATATACAATAGTATCAGATGTCTCTATCTGGACATTTTCTACTTATTCCTATTTCAACAATTCTACCTTTATTTAACTGCCTACAATTAACTGTATTATAAAACTGGTAATGAGCAACGCACCAATCAAACACCTTGAGCTGCTTTATGCCACTTGGAAATATACTTGCTAACGTGACTATAGACTGATGGTATGACAGTCCTTATATAGTGCAGCAGTTGGATGAGGGGCAAAAATATCTCAAACTGGATTAACTTGTTGGTTTATAGTGTGATTGTTTTGTTCAAGTTGCTTTTAAGCAATGAACATGTGAACCATTCTGTGTAGTGTCCATGGAAACAAAAATGGTCACTTCCGTGTAACACACAGGTCACGGCTCCAAGTGCATGTGCTTCCCACCTGCTAGTGCAGGGTGTGTAGCTATTTGTGTGATTCTATCGAATTAGCTCATGATTATGTGGGAAGGCAGCCAGAGCCAGCGGACACAGATACGAAACACAAATGTTTCAGATTTCATGGACATGTCAGCATGTTGCAGCTGTGTACTAGTATCCAGGCAGACATGTACCAGGATAGACCACGGTGTCAGCTGCTGAATGAATACACAAAGACTCACAGTCCTGGCAGCCTTGCTGAGAAACTACAGGGCATCCCGAATCCTAAAGCCCTTCCTTTCTTTCGCTGCGTCACTGTGAGCACTGTAGGGATTCCCCCATGGCTCCAGCCCAAGAAGTGAAGTAACTTGTGATTTATTTTTGCTGTATTTTTGGCAGAATAACAAGGCTGAAACCCCACGTGCTGCTGTACAGGCCCATCAGAAAAGTAGCTTTTGGCACAGGAACAGCTGAAAGCCAGCCAAGTCACACTGCTTCCCTCTACTTTAATGACAGGAAAGCTTCCCTGAGTGAATAACAGCTGCATTGACATGAGCGCAATTAAAGCTGATAGTTACAGGTGGGTTTTTATGACATTTATGACAATGTAGCCTTCAAGCACACACCCTTAATCTTTGAGGTAGATTTAAGCACAGTGACAACATAAAAGTGCCCTTTATAAACCTGTCCAAGATTAAACGTTGACAAAAAGAAAACAAACAGACCTGCCGGTGTTGTCCGTGCATGTTTGTCTGTCATTAATTCACAGCCACAAACCAGTTCTCGATGCAAACTAAGTAAGCTCTTCCTGAATTACACTACCAAATATTGTTTAAATACCTTTAGGCTGAGATCACACATATGCGATGACAAGAAGCTTGTTAACATTTGACTGGTTAAATGATCCGTCTTGCATTTTTACATGCACATTTAACCAACTCAAACATTGTGCTTTGAGATAACAAAATCAGTAAGCGTTTTATATTTCACGGACAATTCCTTGTGTGTTTGAAAACAGTGGACTCTGAGCCGACTGAATATGGTTTCAATATAAATCACAGCACACCAGGAGGGTGAAGAAAGTAAATATTCTGCCACAAACGGAATACAAATGTCTGAGAAGAAATACATGACATAGAGCCATTACAACTGATGTTATTTTTATTTCCTCTCTTTACTAGTTATATGTTTTGTATCACACCAAATTCCCTTCCCCCCAGTGACCCATCGGGTACAACAATTCTCTTTATTGGTAACGACTGCGTTGATCTGATTAGTGTGGCAATATCTACACCGGCCTTTAAGGAGATTGGATGGTGGTGAGGGGCAGACTGTGACACCGATTTGGAAAGATTTGCTAAGAATTTCAATGGTTGTTAATGACGTTGCAAAACTCCTCTGTGTGATGTTTGACTTTTTTATGTTATGAATATATATTTTATATCGTATATGTATGTATCTACATAGAAATTTTATGTTCTATTTCTTATGTAACAATATGTCTGATTTATGTTCTATTTCTTATGTAACAATAACTGCTAAATTCATTTTTTCATGTCTTTTTGTAAGTTAATATTGTTCCTAAAACAAACAAACAAAAAACATCACCAAAACTTCTATGACATTTGACATTAATGGTTGGTTATAATTAGTAATGGCTCGAATGTTTTGAGAAACATGTAGTCACAACAGTGGTTTAGTTGCTTTTCTGAAAAAAAACAAACAAAAACAAAGCACTGATCCTAAAAGCGGTTTTACTTGAATGGCTATTGTTAAATCCAGCACAGTGATAGGCTGGAGTGTAAAATAATTTGTGTTTATTGTTTGTGATGCTAGACCAAAACCCATGCTTTGGGCGTGTGTAAAATATCCTTGAGCTCAACTTTTACATAATGTAAAATGCATTACTGTACTATGCATGTATGTATCCAAACCTACCCAATATTACTATTGTTCATTTTACCACATATTTCCTCTAAAATGGGAAAGCCCCTGTAAACCACATTTTGATCAGGGAAGAACATCAAACGACTCTACCGAAACCAGACGGTTTAACAAATTTCAGGAGGTAATCTGTGTAAACTGTTTATGGATGACTGTGCTAAGAATAACCACTATAGTGTATATGGTTTGAAAATGTAACTGCCTTCATGTGCCAATTCGTCCCTCCAAGAGTGTGAGAAAAATCTACAACAACCCCAAACCAAATGGCTGTAATGTCAGAAAGTAAAGGGTTTTCAATATATCTTACTATCAAGAAACACAGCATAAAGGGATCACCCGCACAAAAACTCAAAAGCTTCTCTAATTCTGTTTGAGTCGGTTTTGAGTTGAATCAATCTGCTGTCTGTTCTGGTTTTGATGGACAAACATCAAGTTCATCAAATGCTGTATATTCTATGTTGCTTCGCCACTGTTGCGCTTTAGCTGGCACACCAATTTAATGTCAGCTGTGGGAAAATTTACAAATAATTTTACAAAAAAATGTACAATATCACAGTGGTTCCTTTCTTCCATCTTTTTAAAGTATCTCAACCAATTGATCATTTATGCACAAATATCAGTTGCTCAGAATAATCAGCAAGAGCATTTTTGGAGAAAACAACGACCATTACCATGGTCTTTTCTCAAGACACTACATCTGCCACCCAAGGTTTACATTCTTACAGCAAAAGCTTTGTGTATTTCTAACTTACAGTATGTGAACATAATCGCATTAAAGAGGATTCATTTGTTGAAAAAAGTGAGTCAACCTTGTTGTAATGTAAACTGCAACATGACGTGTTAATATTCGCTGCGACGACCTGTCCTGTACAGCTGTAAAATCACTTTAATTAGCAATTCTTACTAAAGCAGCGAACATATAGTATCAATTGTTGAGGTAGTGCACAACATGAACATAAACAAAAATGCTCGCATACGTTTTAAATACCAACACATTTTACTAGGTGTAATGATAATTGCAAAACATTTTTATGCCAAGGTAAACACGAGAAATTAACCAAGTTCGATTGAAATTAACAATGGGTAGTAACGGTGGTAACGGACGATTCCTCCATTACTTTTTAGCCTTCTCATTTTGTTTGGAAAATTTTAAATACACATTTTCTTTCCCAAATTTACTTTTTACATGTAAACATCTGTAATTTTCACTGTAACAACAACTGGCCCGTCTGACATTTTTTAAAAACAAATCACACTAGCGGAAGCCGATTCATATTGTCGGTATAAACAGCAGTTGTCGCCATCCGCCACATATAGCGAAGATTATTCAATTGATCAGACGACGCGATGACGTACCGAATAAAAATGCCTTCTGGAAGTGACGATAAAAACAAAAACAACGTAGGCAAAAATGCTAATTCTAACGTGCTGTTAATGTAAAACAAAAAGGGATCAAAAGAGGTAATAAACCACGCATGATAAACTTACCACATGAGCTTTAGTTCGTTTTTTACGCTGAGTGGAACCGGAAGAAACATTCCTGACTGTTGTCGCCCCCCTCTCTGAATCCAGTCCCCCTTTGCTTACACACAAGACGGGAGAACACACCAAGACGGGTAAGAGGAGAGGCGGCTCGAGTGTTTATCAGCTAGAAATAATGCAGTTTCATGTAACTGCATGATATCCACGCTTTTAGCCTCTGTGTGTGATTGTGTTTCCACAGTTTGAGAGTCCTCATCGTTGAGGCAGACAGACGGAGTGAAAAAAGGGGAGGGAGTGGTAAAGAGAGGGTGAGAGAGGCGTGGAGAGCCTCGGTGGCCTGCTCACTCACATCATTGGTTGACAAACAGCAATCAGATGCAAATTCCTGACCTCTGAATCAGCAGGGGCCACCCCCTGACATCCGTCACCATCACCAACACCACCAGCAGTACATGTCGGTAAATGCAAAGGTACGAGAGAGCTGCTCCAAAAGTTGTGGAAAAATAAAATAAATCAAAACTTTACTTTAAAAAGACGCTACGCAAGAATGAACTCTGGGTGTGGGTATATTTGCACAAAGTGAGAGATATTGCAGTATTATGGTCAGATGTATGATGAAACAGCAACGTCAAACAGTTTCTAATCATCATCTTTAAGTGTACGCTAAAACACAGTAATTAACTCAAACAGAACAGCTGTCAAGGAGGCTTACAGTGAAGTGAGGAATGGCCACACGGGATTTTTGGAAAGTTTCATGTCTTGGCAGTCAAAAGCCATACCTCTAACATAGGATTTGGGATTGGAGATAGCAGCATGTACTCTTAAATGGAAATCCAAATTTGTAATGTTAGACTGAAGTACAAGGATGTTTGTTGGCAATGATAATAAGAAGAGCAGCGGTTGAATATAGCGAACATATGTTGGCAACAGAGCAGCTTGGTGAGATAACAGTCTACTCAATGCTGAGGTGTACAGGCGGATACCTGATGTCGTATCAGGAAGATGACCCAACACATACAGCTGATGTCCTCAATAACTAACTCTCGTGGGAATAACAGAGTCCTGCAAGTGAACAGTGTGTCTGGGATTACATGAGAAACAGAATCTTGGATGAAGGTTGTTCCAGGCTGAAGAAGTCGACTGTAGTAATGGTTGTATTTAAGATACTGTATGTAGAACAACCTAACAGAGGACTTTCTTCAACGACTTGTCCTGGTATACCTTGGTATACAAATAGAACTCTTTATCAAATCGACTTGTCCTGGTATACCTTGGTATACCTAACAAATATTTGATAAAGAGTTCTATTTTCTTTTCTTCCCCACACAAAAAGCAATAACTATCGATAATTATTTTTTGTAAGAGTCACATAAAAAGCCACATCAAAGCATCCCCTGGAGGGAAGGGACTGGTTTATATAAATCCAACATTAACATACACAGTACTTTTACTTTAACCTGAGTCAATTAACAAATGCTTTACTGTTTGCTTTAAATGTCAGTAACAAAGTGGTTCATCTGCCTTTTTAAATAATTATTAAATACAAATACATCTGAATTAATCTGGATGTAATTATGTTTTATGTAATAATTTAAGAAAAGGCTGAAATGAATTTAATACATCGGGAGATTCTGTTTAACATTTGATTTTAACTTTAGACCAAACTATTAAAAATCAACAAACAAACCAATTGGTAAAACCTTCACATTTTAGTTCAACTTTAGCTTTTCATTGTGTACGACCTATAAAGTGTTCAACATGATTCTCTTTCGGTTTCATTACATGTAACAGGATCCTGGAGAGAAGTATTTCAATGCACTGACACAGTGTAAAAACAAATTTAAACAGAATCCGGTGATGAAATTTATAATTTCACACTTGATACTAAATTAAATAAAAATGACAAGACTTGGTTAAGGTGAGTTGCGATTTCTGTTAAATTTTGGCCCAGTCATACACTGATCATGACGCATCGAGTGTCGACATTGCTTGTGTCCTGTCCATGATTAATTAAGAAATGATTATATTACTTTTCTGGGTATTTCTAATTCCTGTCCAATGGAAAAATAATGTTGATACTATACATTGTATTTCATTGTTTATAAACGGTGTAGTACAAATACATGTCATAATTTATATAATTCTATAAACGTAGGCAAAACATGTAAAACTAACAATCCTACTTTTTAAAGATGCACATTTGAACAACAGTAATCCCATTGCAGAACAACAGAAAACATAGTAGCACTGAATTGAGAATAGTATGAAAATGTAATGTACACCTGTTTTTGCACTTCCCCGCCATCTACTGGTAAGTACAGAAATTCAGAAGATTATATATTCACCATGTCTCCTACAGAGTAAAAATAAAAATCTTCTTTTTTTAAATCAACACTTTGTTTTACTAATATTTACAGGCTAATATTTACTCTTGCCATAGCATTTTGTTCAGTAATGATCACACCACACCTCTACATATAAACTGAAACAAATTGTAAAAGTGTATGTTCAGCTTGGGTAGTTATGAGAATTGTGTCATAAAAAGATGATGTAATAACTGTCGTTACTGAACAACAAAGGGTTTAAAACTGAGCTTTCGGGCTTTAAGTTTTGAGTTTATTCACTTTACCTTTTTTCTGCGTATGTTTAGTGCAGACCTTCCCTAAAAAACACAATGAAAGCAGAAAAAACAGTATGCATCATTTAATAGCAGAAGTGACACCTTTAAATAAGCATTGTAGTACATTTGTCATTTCATACACCAACAATATTACAGACAAGTGTAAAAAGCTTTCCGACAAATTTGGCATGGGACGACTATTTATCGTCATTATTTACAACTCCATTGATATGCATCAATTGGTGAACATACGTCAAATGAACGTGTGGTGATGTATACAGTTCACAGAGACATGACATCGGGTGAGATCACTGCATGACATTAAAAGAGAGAGATCAAAAGCCTGAGAAGTTGAATTCCCTCACAAAAGTCTTGCGTTGAACTTTGGTGCACCAATAAATCAAGTTGTTTCACACTGCAGATGGCAGCAGGTTTTTAAAAAGATCTCACTTTAAATAACCTGGATACACACAATGCAGTAAAAATGTATAAATATATGCACAGAAAGAACACGTTTTAAGGCAGAGTTTATGTATCGCAAATGTCAATATTTAGATGAAGACTAGATGAGGGTCAAACCTTGACTGGGTTCTAACATCAAAACACACATGTATTATTCTCACATATCTACTGGTATTCAGTAAAATGCCCTATTCTCTCAGTAAGAGCCTTTAAAAGCCATTGTCGTTTTTTAAAGTGTAAACTGTGAAATTGGTGCATGTTGCTTCAAGCCATGAGTAAACCTAAAGTCTGTTAAAATGGTCAAAGTTTATTTTAAAATTACCCCATAGTTGTAATAGAGGATGGTTTTAGATTATTTCTACCTTGAGTTTAAAAAAAAAAGATTATTTATTGGAGAAACATATGTAATTTGCATTAGACTAAGACGAAACAGTACCATAATAAATATAAAAACTATTATCTCAATCAGCAGGCATTATAACCCTTTCACACTCTATACAAGAAATAATTCTAGTTTCCCTTATGCTCATGAGTGGCCAGAAATATGGAGACATCATAAATATCCATGCTTAATATTTCACTTTTGACACAGCAGACTAATTCTTTAGACAGTAATGTTAAACTGACCTGTCCCTGCACTTTGCTTTTCATGGGCCAACAGGTTTGTTACAACCTGAAGAGAGCAAAAAAGTTGTTCAATGGAAAAATATGCATTAGTTGCTTTGTTGGAGCACCTGCAACAATGACAGTCAACAGAAACAGGAAGTTGGATTCTTAATAGTTTTCAATACAATTTGACTAGGAAACTGTATAAAAATTGATTTTACACACAATATTAGCACTATTAGCAGAACTGCCTTTTTATGTATGGCCCAGAAGCCTGTGTGCTTTAGTTCTGTAGCCTTGGGTGTCTTAAATTAGCACTGGTAGTATGAGCAGATACAAAATAATTTGTAATTGACCAGACCCCTTCATGGTATTTAGTGCTGATGGTTTTACACAAACCCTGAGTCTCTCATACTGTTTCTTTTTTTAAAGGCAGAAGACTGATTCACATTATTCACCAGGAGATTACAGTTCATTCATTTATTCCAAATGAAAAAAAAATAACGATGATAACCAATACAAACTCTAGTAACGCCTGAAAAGTTTTTTTCGGGGGATGTCTCTGAGTAATGATTTCTAGCTGCCTCTAGAGGCCAACATGGGTATGGCAACAAACTGCCTTAGTTGATGGCTTCTCGGCAGTTTTTTTCATTTAGTCCAGGTTTTATAGTCTTAAATGTGTCTTAATCAGATTACACGTTGACAAACACATTCACACTCGGCTGTTTACGGTTCATAACAAAACACAAATTAAGATCACTGCTTTGATTATTTTTTTGTTATCACATAAGTTTAACACACACTGACCATATAGTGAAACTGTAACAACTGCAAAATTGTCCCTGATATTGTAGATGGACAAGAGGCACCTTAAGCCATATATTAACATGAATACTATTCTAACATGCTTGTATTGCAAAACGTACAATTTAAATGTTTTAGTGAATTGTTGAGATGGTCACTGGTGAACTTTACTGTTTGTAGACCTTTGACACTGATGTTACGTTCACAAACTTTTCTTAGTCAACACCACACAGAGGAAACCTGGTCCTGGTCTCAGCTCATCTGCTCCAGGTAGGCAGACAACAGAGGTGAAGGAGGAAAAAACTTTTCCTGTTTGTTCACCACTTCAGTCTGACGTGTTCCATTGTAGTCGGTGCCTGAAGGTTAGCAAAAAAAACAAAACAAAAAAAAAAACCTTTATCAGACTCAAACAAATATGCTGTTGTGGCTCAAATCATAGGACAAGGAAAATGAAACATTTTTTTCAAATCTCTATTTAATAAAACAGTCCCAAATTGTGTAATGACTACAGTTGTTTTTCTCAAAACTAATCACATATCAGTTATACTGTACTGGTGCAAGTGTTTCCACTCACTTGCAGAGACGAGGCCCATGTACTGACAGACAGCGTGAAGTAGCAGCCTCTCAAAGCTGAGTCACAAATACAGACAACAAAAAATGACTTTTCCACTCCTGTGTCTTCACACTGACATAAAATCCTCGTGTGTTCTGACCCACTTTCTTTAACCAGGGTAAACAACCATTTACACATACATAATTTATGTGACCACTCAACTTCAATGTTTAAAAATCTAGGTTGTAGTTCCCACTTTAACCACCAGACGTCAGTAATATACGACAGATATTTGACAGATTATATTTTTTCACTAAAGAAGTGAAATATTTTTTACCTGCTAGTGAGGTTGGTGGTGTAAACTGAGTGAGGCTGAGCCTCGAAGAAGCTGAGGAGACTTTCCTCGTATGTTTCCAGAGTTCCCTGTGTGGGAGAAAAGAGGTTACTGGTTTGATCATTTATGGTTAAAACTTAATCAACCACATCCAATATTGATTATAATTGTTAAAAGAGAGAAAATACTTTAAATAACTGAGCTGCTAAAATGATCGATTATCTATGGAAGAGAAGGGAAATTAGACAAAAAAAAAACACTTTATAAGGTTATACATACAGTAGCTGCTGCAATTTTGTCAGTCCTTATTAATGATGTGCTTGTGAGTTATTTTAAAGGCAACCAACGCTTACCATGGGGACTCGTTTGCGTCTTAAAGCAGCTCGCAGCCTGCGATCGATTCTCTGGAAGCAGTCCTGAGCAGTGAAGGCAGGGTTTACTGTGAAAAGATGTGTCATGTCAGCCAAACGATCACAAAATGTTCTGGTACCAAAAGAAAAATGCACCAACTCACCATTCCTCTGGTCCTTGAAAAAACGGCTAGTGTTTTTCTTCCTTGCATCCTGTTCTAGGAGAGACAAGAGTCTCTCTTGTTCTTCACCAGAGCAGTTCATAAAGTCATTCCAAGGCTAACAACAGAGCAAAAAAAGGTTAAAATAGTCAAGAATTTGGTTCAACATCATAACAGAGCAGGACTTCACAACAACCTTACCTCAGTGTAGATCTCATTGGTGCAGGCTTCAGTGAAAATTGATGGTATGGCTGGATTACTGCAAACCTCCAGGTCATCTTTGCAGCACTCATCTCTCTCAAGAAGATGAGCAAGAAAACGTGCTGGTTGACCAAAAAAAAATGATGACAGGAGCCACCTTCAGCATAAATTAACCTGCAGGAAACAAACGAAAAACTTACCGTTTTCCTCTCGGCGAAGGAACCTCTTGCTTTTGCCACGAGGAATGAGGTCAGAGTTGCGGGTGGCTTGGATGATAAAAATCTGCCTCCTTTTTGCGGGAGACACTCGCTTGGCAGGAGAGTTGGGCAAGGAGATGCATTTACGCTCCTCTATCAGGCTGGGGAAATATAAAATGTTATAAAATAAGGAGGAGGGATCTGTTCTGTTATCTAAACCCAATGCAGGAAGTCGAAGAAATACATGTATTCTACTTGAATCGTAACTATAATCTCTAATCTCTCACTGTAGAATGACAATTGTAATATGATGATTCTTTTGCCAGACATTAGACATAATTATCTTTATTTTATTTTACCTTGAAGTGTCTTTTCAGAAATGGTGTAAACATATATTATTATACAGTATTCTGTTTGTGATGTTTTGTCTCTGTAATTTTTTATTTGGTATACTGGCATGAAATACGGAAATTGAGACCTAAGCAAATTTCGTAGATGAGATGATCAGAGTTTGTTAAAAACAAAGAAAACACAAAAACACTCACAGCTAGTATACACCACTGAAATGCTAACGTGACCAGAAGCTTGTAAATTTAAGGGCTTTTTAAAACCAATTACATTATTCCGAACTAAACTAGATAAGAACGTGTAATACGTTAACTGATAATTACAACCCATAAGCAAGGCTAAGCAAGAAAAACAAGGCAGGAAAACAAAAATAGAACCAAGTAGGCGGCTACATTATGGCTAATGCTAACTAGCTCGCTCAAGATGACGGACGTGTAAACAACGACTCACATATAATCCTGCTCTTCATTGTTACTCGTCACAACGACCATCTTATTGGAGGAGAAACACAGTGACAGAATTCGATGTGAGTTCGTGTTAAAAATAAATGCAACCAAAGTAAACAGCAAGAGAGTTTTCAGTTTTAGCTGCCAAGCAGCAGCAGCGGCTCCTCCCCGTCCTCCTCCCACCACCAACACCACCTCTTATCAGGTCACAGAGAGCTGATACTATTACTGCTGCTACTAATATCCTACTGCTACTGCTACTACTACTAATTACGTTGCTGCTGCTAGTATCATTTTGGTCTCTACTTTTACAAAAAAACCCAAACATGTTCATCTTAAAATGCAATCTAAGTACCGACCAGTGGTCTGGCAATTTATTGATTCTGTATTTACCAGATACATGCATTTACATTGACATAGATATTTGTTAAAATTCAAAAGTTTCATGTTGATGTCTGCAACAAACTTTCAAAAGTTTCATGTTGATGTCTGCAACACCCTTTAGGGAAGATTCCTCATTTAGCTGGTTAACTTGTAACAGGTTTAATGTTCAACGTTGGGTTTTAAATGAGAATCCACCAGAGGCCTGGTCGTGGTTTGCAAAAACCAATCTAGGTTCATGTCCTTAAAATATATGCACGTGACTGTTACAGCTATTTCAGTACATAAATGTCTGAATAGCAGTGAATAGTGAATCATTTCAAGCAGTATGTGATAAATACGGACAGACAGACAGAGAGATCAGTGGACAGTTCTTATTGCTGAAGTTGCTGAACAAAATATATGTTTATACACATATATACAGAGACTGCCCCCAGCCTTTGGTAACCTAACTTGACAATTTACATTATTTACAGCAGTATTGTGTAACTGACTTTCATGCCTAAGCTTATTGTAATAAATATACACTAATAGTTACTTACAGCATGTTTTGTATCAATTCTCATTCTTCCCATCTTATCCTGTCACCTGTTCAACAAGAACATATTGGACAAGCAACAAAGAATCAACATGTAATGATGTGAAACAGGGATGACAGGGATTCCCTTCTGTCACAGTCTGCCTCCTCCCACAAACAGAGATGACAGGGATTCCCTTCTGCCACAGTCTGTCTACTCAAAAGCCACATCACCGTCTACAGACTTTCATCTCCACTGCTTTGCTTTAATGTCATTAGCCACATCATCATCTCAGTTGGTAGCCGATTAAGTTGCTTAATAAAGACATTGTGGTGTTTCTGTATTGGTAGCAACCTCCAAGTGACTTCTGGAGCTGCCTTATAAACTGGACATCAAACATACTGCATGTTGGTATTAGTTTTAACTTGGGTTACAAGTTAAAACTAACACTTGCGTGATTGGAACTGATGGATAGGTCTGTGGAACTCTCTAGAGCCCACAAGCAAATAGAGAAAAAGACAATCTATCTCTATTTGTGAAAATAAAATAAAAATCTGAATTTAATTAATTATATTTGCTCATTCATTACTGAAAAAAGTATTTAAGCTGTGGGTTCTGCCAAAACCTCACTCTCTCTGTCAGACAACTTCTCATTAAACTCCAAATAAACTCACTGGTGCAACATAAATCTTCCATATTCTGCACTTCATTAGTGTATTGGGTTGAATTGTCCGAGGCATTGGTGTTAAATTAAAACTTTCTCCACTTCACTGAAGGTTTGTGTGCATGTTACCATAACAGCCAGTGTAACAGTTGTTGCCACAATGTCATCTCACTGTTCACTGCTGTTGGACAGAAAGAAGCAGAGAAGCTGGAAGCAGAAACACAACAGCCTGTTCAGTTTACCCTAATTTTTATATATATAGTTGGGGTTTTTTTTGTTCCTACTGAGATTTTATCCATTTTTTTTATCCATATTTAGTGATGGGCAGGGAGAGGATATTAGTCAGAGAAAAGAAACTGGATCCAGACACATGTCCGATCATTGTGGGGGCAATAAAGAAAACAACACCAAGGATACAACATGTGAAGCCAAAGGAGAGGATTAAAGTCAAGACATCCAGGGGAAAATTACCTACAAACAGAGGTATATCAACGTGTGAGGTATTTGGGAATGTAATGAAGCTTTGTGTCAACTTAATGCCTGCCTTAGCCTCAGCCCAGGAGCCAGAGCAATCGGAGAGCAAGGACAACCCTCAAAAACAGGGAAAGAAGGAAGGAGGAGAAACTTTCTTTAGAAGAGAAAAGAAGACAACCGCAGGCAACAATATTGACTCCTCAGGCTCAACATTAAAACAAAAAATAATAAATACAAGTGATTCATTTTCAGGATTATCTCTGAACAGAGCTGCCGTAACCAAACAACCACGCAGGCCTTCAATGCTGCCACCAAAACCTCAGTCTTTGTCACTTCCTGTGTGTTGGGACAAGATCCAGAGGTTTCCCAAACCTTTACCTCCTATTGGTTGTTCTGAAACCACTATCCCCCCTTACTTAACAGCTAAAATTGATGAAGTCGATGAAGGACTCACAGGACAACTCATGGATTCCAAGTTCTGGATGGACAATATCCTGTTCTCTAAAAGTGTGAGTACAAGACTATAAGTTGTTTTAGTGTTGATGGTAAATAATATAGAGATACCAGGCAGGAGTCATTCAAAGGGGGAAATTAATTTGCCTATATTATTATTGTTTTTGCGCAGACATCAGCTGAGTTTAGACTTCCTGACATTTCATTGTCCGGTCTGGATGATCTGCTGGAGACTGTTACACAGAAACTAAAGAGGAAGAAGAGACGTGGTGAAGGACCAGTTCAGTCTGATCACCTCCTTATGGCTAAACACAGAAAATCCTGTGTACTAGAGAAGAGAATTGGATTACTGTCCGGCTTGTCCAATGTGTGAGGTTAACATCATTCACATTTCAACATACTATTTTTTGTCAATTTTATATCTGGTGTAAATATTTATTTTTTAAGTTTGTCTAATAAATAATACAGTATAAAAATAAAATAATATAGAGAGCGAGAAGACATTTAGGTCATTGATTGGCAGTAGAAAATGCAAAGGTTGGATAACAGGAAGTTAAAGTTAAAGTGCAAGTGTCAGAAGAACCTGCTACTGACCTTTGATTAACCACAGACTTCCAGTCAACTCCAAGGTGTTTTTGGTACAAAATCCATTAAAGGAACCAATACATTTATTTTCTTTGGGACAAAACAACCAGGACAAACACATACCTGTTGACTTTCATACTGTCTGCACATGTTTGACATACAATAAATATTACAGTGAATAAAATAGTGTTCAAGTAGAATATTGCAGCCTAAATATCCTAAAAGTACAGCCGTGTAACTTTCACACCAAAATACTCCAAACAGTGTTTTATTCCAGCATAGTTTACGTTTGCATAATAATTTTTTTTTAAATTTATTCATTTTTAACTTTTACTTTTCATGTGACGGGTTGAGGTAAGGAATGATGATGCTGATGATAAAAAAAATAAAAATGTAACACTTCAAACAGTATGTAACAATCATAAAGCTTTTGTTTTTCTTTGAATAGAGGAAATAAAAATAACAGTAATAAAGAACAAGCTACAACCTGATCAGGGTCACACTAGAGGAGAATTTGTATTGATGGTAATAAGATTTTTGCACCATAGTTTGAAGCTGGATAATAAGAAAAGGACCCAAGGAGTCAAGAATTTGTTCTTGATTTTTTTTTTAGAAAAATCACCAGATATTAGAAATTTTGTTTTAAATGGTAAAATCCTAAAACAGGCAACAGTTTCTGATGAACCTACTTGATATTAATGTGTAGAACAAGAACAGGTTAAATCACTGTAGATCTTTTTGGCTTAAAATGCTTTTTATACAATAAGAATGTTAGAGGTCCAATGACTGAGCCCTGAGGAACACCTCCTATTATTTTTTATATTTCTCTCCTCTATAATTTACCGTTACTGAAAGATGAGTAAACAAAAACGTATGACCCTGGACAGTTGTTGTAGGTCAGGGGCTAAAGCAATTTTCTCCTCACATAAGAGTTTGGTTGGCCTAAAATGTTGATTTACATTTTATCCAAATATTCAAACTTTACATGATTGTAAAGTGCTGTCAGTAAAACTAGAAAAGTGCCATGTACTGAAGATACAGAACATTTGATGTGACAGAGTTTAAATAAAAGGTTAAAACGCTTTTAATCTTTGGAACAAGGCACCAAAGCCAATATTAATATGTTTTCAGGAGGTAAAGGAGACATACAGTGTTTTAACTGAGACGATGGCTCTGTGAGTTACACCAATATAAGGTCCATCTTTACCACTGCCCTATTCTTATGTGTTTTGCCTTAAATATTGTTTTTTTTTTCTTTTTCATAGCCGACACTGATACACAATCAAATGAACGTAAGTTGAATAACTGGAGTATTTAGTTCAGACATGTCTGAACCCCTGGTGTTCATAACCACCTCATAGGGTGCTGTCCTGTGTGTTGTTGCTGACTATAAAAAGTGCAGAGGGATCTTTACTAGACCACTGTGGTCTGTCCTTTGACCTACTGTTTATACTGGAGTCTCCTTTAGGTCCAACATCACACCCATCTGACAAGTTGCTGTCCTTCCGATTCTTTTGATGCATCTCCTCCTCCTCCAATGGCTGAGGTAGTACAGTCGTAGAAGTACTGCTGCTTTTTTCTTTAGAAGATTTCCCCTTTTTCCATTTCCCCTTGCTGCTAGATGCAGATTTGGTCTTTTTTGATTTACCCTCCTTTCCTTTCTTCTTCCTGTCAGAGGATGTCTCCGCCTCTCTCTTTTTTGAATGCACTTGCACAGGGGGCGATACCAGCTGTTGTGTTTGGATGACAGGAGAACGTATGTTTGTGGGCAGAACAGCCACGTAGCTCTGTACTGTCCCGTTGCCGATGAGCACTTCAGTTAGACAGTCGTCATCAGTCTGCTCTTTGGCAAAGTTGACAAACACCTACAAAAATGAGCCAGAGTTGGTTTTAAACTTCACATATTTATTGTTCTTCCTGGTGGCAGTTGCAGAGTTGGTTTTAAACTTCACATATTTCCTGTTTACAGTTATAAAGAAACCTGTTATAAAGAATTGAAGCTGCAGCTTCATGCTCACCTGATCCAGGGTGGTCTGTGAAACAGAGAAGTCTGTGATGCCCAGCTCCTCGTAGTTGTTGGC